CGGCCCGCGGCACGCAGAAGGGCGACGTTTACAGCTTCGGCATCATCCTGCAAGAGATCGCCCTGCGCAACGGCGTCTTCTACGTGGAGGGGCTGGACCTGAGCCCTAAAGGTGAGCGGTGGGGCCGGGGTGATGGTGCCAGAGACCCACTGATGCATGGTTGGACCTGCTGTGGTGGGTGCTTGGCCCTGCTGCGATGGCTTCTTAGCCCTGCTGATGGGTTGTTGGACCTTCTGTGATGGGTTGTTGGCCCTGCTGATGGGTTGTTGTCCTTGTTGATGGGTGCTTGGACCTGCTGACGGGTGCTGTGACCTGCTATGATGGGTGCTTAGGCCCACTGATGGGTTGTTGGCCCTGCCGTGATGGGTTCTTGGACCTGCTGACGGGTTCTTGGACCAGCTGATGGGTGCTTGGACCAGCTTATGGGTGGTTGGCTTCACTTGATCATGCTTGGACCTGCTGTGATGGGTGCTTGGACCTGCTGATGGGCGCTTGCACCTCCTGACGGGTGCTCGGCCCTGCAGAGATCATCGAACGGGTGAAGAGCGGGGAGCGCCCCAGCTTCCGCCCCTCGGCCAACGTGGGGTGCCACATGGAGGAGCTGGGCCAGCTGATGCAGCACTGCTGGGCCGAGGACGTCCTGGAGCGCCCAGACTTCAACCAGATCAAGGTCCAGCTCCACAAGTTCAACAGGTGCCTCCTCCTCCCCCAGCCCCGTGGGTGATGGGTGACCCCGAAAAGGGTCCCCGGGTGGGTGCTCACCCCTTGCCTGTAGGGAAAGCAGCAGCAACATCCTGGACAACCTGCTGTCGCGCATGGAGCAGTACGCCAACAACCTGGAGGAGCTGGTGGAGGAGAGAACCCAAGCCTACCTGGAGGAGAAGCGCAAGGCTGAGGCTCTGCTCTACCAAATCCTGCCCCAGTGAGCACCGGGGGTGGGCCTGGCCCTCTGTGCACCCCCCCACTGGTGGACACCCTGGGACATCACACTGACATCCCCTGCCTGCCCCGGGCTGGGGTCCCCCATGGATGTCCTGCATGGCTGGGGGTGCTTGGAGGGGCTGGGAACACCAAGGACCCCCACATGGCTTGGGGCTGGGGGGGTTTGGAGGAGCTGGGGACCCCCCTAGACTGCTGCATGGCTCGGGGTGCCTGAAGGAGCCAGGGAGCCCAAGGACCCCCCAGTGTGGTTCAGGACTAGGGGTGCTCAGAGGGCTGGAGACCCCAAGATCCCCCACCATGGCTTTTTGGTGTTCGGGGTACCTAAAGGGGCCAGGATGACCCCAGACTCCCCAGGATAGTTTGGGGGTTCTTAGAGGGACGTGGGACAACCCCAGCCCCCCATCATGGCTCAGGGCTGGGGGTCCTCAGAGCACTGGAGACCCTGAGGACAC